CCTCCCCCTCTCACCCTCCCCCCCCCCCCGCCTCTCTCCCCTCCCCGTCCCAACCCCAGTGTTGTACTACTATTCTTAAGACACTAAGCATTGCATTAGTGGTTTCCAGTTGCCTCTCCCCTAAAGCAGATAGCTTTGTCACGACAGGACTAACTCGCCATCCCTTGACTATGGGATTTTGCTTTGGCCTGTGAGTGGATGGGCATTTGAAGCTATTTGTGTGCTTGGGCCTGCTAAGAACACAGCCTGCTGAGCCAAAGAGAAAATAAAATCCTAGTCACCTCCTTGGCATCTGAACCAGAAACACAGGCTTATTGCTATAGATCATGGGTGGGGAGGTTGCACTTGGTTGCATAGGATGGTTGAATATGAAGCTGAGACAATCTGACTGACTTTGATGGGTCCTAACCTGAAGTGTAAAAGGCATCTCAGGATACCACCCCACGTTAGTGTGGAAGGACTAGGTTGAGGAGCCAGAACAAGCTTCTGGGGGTGGTGCCCACATGTGGGATAGATGTGCGCAAAGGACAGAAATCATGATGGGATCAAACTTCCTTCAGACTCACCTAAACAAATCCAGAGTTCACGTCAAGGGGGAGAGATCTTGTGACACAGCGGGTTAAGCCACTGCCTACGATGCCAGCAGCCCATATCAGAGCATCTATTTGAATTGTTAACTGCTATACTTGTGATCCAGCTTCTAGCTGAAAGAAGAAGGCTCAAGCACTTGGGCCCCTCCTCCCAGGCTGCTGACTCCAGCTGACCTAGCCCCGTTGTGGCCATTTGGGAAGTGAACCAGTGGATGACGGGTCCTCCTCTCCATCTCTGCCTATCAAACTAGTAAAATTTTAGGTTAACCATGTCCATGCTGTGGACCTGAAAATTTGTGGAATTGGATTTACGTGCAAATTAGCCTTCATGACCTCTTAAAAAAAGTGCAGAGGAATTATTCTTACTGCCTCCCAACCCAATCTTAATCATTTCCTGAAGGCAAAGGTATTTGAAGCAGAGCAGAAATACTGCATTTACCATGCCGTTCCTGGGGTGTTAGTTGTAGATAAAATATTTTCTCCAATAGAATTTTATCTCTTACAGTTGAATTAAAAAGAATCGCAGTGCATTCTTGCAAAAAGTGATGGCATGAGCAGATCTGTTTTGGAAACTCACTATCTCTTCATGATAGTGAGAGCTCAGGGGAGCCCTCGGAACTGAAGGAAAGGTTCAAGTTTGAAAGATCCATCAGAAGTGGCCACCAACTTCATGTTTTGAAGGATTATTTTTTTCTTTATGATTTATTTTTTATGGGAATATCAGATACACAGAGAGGAGGAGAGACAGAGAGGAAGATCTCCCATTCTCTGGTTCACTCCCCAAGTAGCCACAACAGAGCTGCGCCAATCCAAAGCCAAGATCCAGAAGCTTCTTTGTGTGTCTCCCACAAGGGTTCAGGATCCCAAGGCTTTGGGCCATCCTTGACTGCTTTCCCAGGCCACAAGCAGGGAGCTGGATGGGAAGTACAGCAGCTGGGATTAGAACCAGTACCCATATGAGATCACAGCACGTGCAAGGCGAGGACTTTGGCCGCTAAGCTATCACACTGGGCCCCTGAAAGACTCTTAAGTAGTATCTGCCTAGAATACTTCCACACTGATACTCTATTAAGTCTTATCCCAGGTCAAATAAACACAACGACAAAATCATTCTCATAGCAAGAACCAAACAAATTGCATAGGTTTCCATGCAGACATACCTGGATTATCTTCCTCTAAGCCTTCTTCCTGGAGTGTAAGCCAGCATAATCCCAGAGACCCCACTGGGTACCGTCTACCAGGGACCATCTGCCAGGTACCGTCTGCCGGGGACCATCTGCCGGGGACCATCTGCAGGGATGCGTGCAGGCAGGACCTAACGCTGTACAATGCAAACCAAGGGCAAAACGCAGTCTCGTCAACATTCTGTCAGGCTCCCATTTGCTGGGTAATTCCATTCCTACCTGTTCCACCTTTTCTGAGTTTTCAATCTGCTTAGTACACCCTGCCCTGCCGTAGTTCATGGAAGACTTGAGGTAGCCTGCAGGGCATAAGCAAAATGAAGATGGTCAAACAGAAATAGGCTCTGAAACACTGAAATAGGGAAAAACTTAATAAAAATAGGAATTATTGGGCCTGGTAATTAGGCATAGCAGGTAAAGCTGCCACCTGTGGTGCCAGCATCCGACATAGACACCAGTTCGAGTCCCAGCTGCTGCACTTCCAATCCAAATCCCTGCTAATGTTCCCCCAGAAAGTAGCAGAAGATGGCCCAAGTCTTGGGCCCTGCTCCTGTGTGGGAGACCCTGAAGGAGCTCCTGGCTCTTAGTTTCAGACCAGTCTATTTCCAATTATTACAGCCATTTAGGGAGTGAACCAGCAGATGAAGACTCTTAACTCTGTCTTTCAAATAATCTTTTAAAAATTTGAAATTAGGGCCTGGTGTGATAGCGTAGTGGTTAAAGTCCTCGCCTTGTACACGCTAGGATCCCAAATGGGCACCGGTTCTAATCCCGGCGACCCTGCTTCCCATCCAGTTCCCTGCTTGTGGCCTGGGAAAGCAGTCGAAGACAGCCCAAAGCCTTGGGACCCTGCAGCCATGCGAGAGACCTGGAAGAGCTCCTGGCTCCTGGCTTCGGACCAGCTCAGCTCCAGCCTTTGCAGCCGCTTGGGGAATGAACCATCGGACGGAAGATCTTCCTGTCTCTCCTCCTCTCTGTATATCTGGCTTTCCAATAAAAATAAATAAATCTTTAAAAAAATAAAATAAAAATTTGAAATTATTAGCTAGCTTGACACTATACCAAATAAGATTACAAAATCCTACAGATTCCAGTGTTGATCCAGAACCATGGGTGTTTGTGTCTCTTAATAAAAAAAATGGAAATTTAAATCCTATCATAAGAAAATATGCCTTCCAAGAGTGTACTGTGACTACATAGCATGTGAAATATATTAAGTTTCCTGTCTCTTGTCACACTGTCAATGAAAAACAAAATTCCACAATCCCAAGGAGGCAAGCTGTCCAAAGGACGGAACAGGTAACCCTCCTGGTGTCCGAACCTCTGGCAGCAAGGGAGGATCGGACTGTGTATTCTCCCACTCTACAGATCCCCTCTCCTTACCAGGCTGCACCCTGCCAAAGTTGGGACTGCGGATGGTCTGAGGTCGTATTGGTCTTCAGGCGCTTGATCACTGTAGCTGAAATACGAAAAGTTCAGGAAACAAACATTAGTAGGAACTCATTTTACAATTAAATTGATTTCATCCAAATGACCTTGAGTGATGGGAAGCTACTTTTAGTCCATTTATCACATTGCACATATTGGTGCCGTTTACTGCAAAAACATTCAAGCATTCATTACAGGTTGCTGCCCTGGATTTGGCCAGGTAGTTCTTTGACTTACAGACTATCCATCATAGTAACTTTCTAAAACTTAAAATAGAGTCTGGAACCTGGTGGCAACACAGTGGCATAGCAGGCTAATCCTTTACCTTATGGCGCTGGCGTCCTTTATACTGATGCAGATGTCCACTCTTCCACTTCCGATCCAGTTCCCTGTTTATGGACTGGGAAACAGCAGAGGATGGTCCAAAGCCTCCTATGCTCATGTAGGAGACACAGAAGCAGCTCCTGACTCTTGGCTTCAGACCGTCCCATCTCTGGCCACTGTGGCCATTTCAGGAGTGATCCAGAAGATGGAAGATCTCTATTGACTTTCCCCTTAACCTCCTTGTTTTCATGTAAGTTAAATTAACATTTAAAAACAAATACTATAATTCTGGATTCTGAGACCCATCTGGTCACAAAGGTTTTATAAAGAGTATCATGGTCCTCTAGTTTGAAGGTACAAGTACGCAGTTGAATGTGTCAGACATCAAATGAGCCAGTAGCATAGTGGACACTTTTGTGCAAATTAAAAACCCAATTGATGAGCAGCCACTTCAGCTCCAAGTTCAGGATTGGATTTACTCCAGTTTCCCCTCGTCCACATGCTTGGATTTATATCGAAATGTAGGCCACACATAGTATTTTCTGGAAGAACCACTGTAGCTGTTGGGGAGGGAGGGACTGTCGGTACTTATGAATCCTGCCACAAGCATCGTCTTCCCCATCTCGGGGTCATGCAGAGTTGTGCAAGCACCACAAGCAAGGACAGTTCTGAGCCTAGAAATGAGTACCTCAAAAATGTTTATTATACATACAAGTCGGTATGGGAAAGTAATGGGAGATTTTTACACTTGCTCTCCCTTGCATTAAGACCCCACTGGGAATTCTCTATCTGTACAGTGGAATCATCTAGTAAGTTTTGGTAAGGTCTTGTCTCCCAAAAGTGCCAACTTAAAGAGAAATCTAAGCGTTCAGCAGTTCAGAAAATATAAAGGAATGACCAAGCCTTTTCTTTGGGAACAGGTCTGGGTTGTACTAAATGCTTTCTCAAAAATGTCAGGTAAACTTTCTGGGAACACTCTACCTTGCTGGGACAAAAGTGGCTGAAGAAAATAGGCTAAATTGAGTGGGAAAGGGGTTGGAGAGAGCTCTTTCGCAAAGGAGACAACTTCCTGACTGGGTCACAGGAACGACCCCTGGGTCCCTGCTCTGACAGGCTCACGCTGAGGCATTTTGGTCAACAAAAGGAAGGCAATTGAGCTTCAGTTCATGTGTCAGCACTAATCTGTTAGTGGAACCAGCACGTTAGCAGTCGTAGACATAGCAGGGGGAATGGGCCGTGATTGTTTCACAGTGTCTGCATGAATATGGGGAAAAGACTTGTTTGCAAGCCACCCACACAGTTGCTGTCTTTCCTGAGAGTCGGGACATCACTGCTGTCCAAGTTCAGGCCCAATGGCCTGGCTTCAAAACATCATTTGACAACAATGGAGGGACGCTAAGGAACAAGGGACACTCAAGTTCCCTGCCTCCTCCTAACCATACCCCAGCCATCCAGTTTGTCTGTCCAGCCCGTGTGTTTACTCCTGCTTGGTAAAGAAGCTCTTGAAGGCATCATTGTAGTTCTTGTTAAAAGCCGTGTAAATCAGAGGGTTGAAGAAAGAGTTGGAGTAGCCGAGCCACAGAAAAACGCTTTTCCAGGTGGGCGGGAGGCTGCAGGCACAGAAGGGACCGATGAGCTCCGCCGCAAAGAAGGGAGTCCAGCACAGCACAAACACGCCAATCAGAATGCCCACCATCACGGCTGCCCGCTCCTCCTGCTGCTCCCGCCACGAGGCCCTGGCTTTGCAGCCCCGGGCTGCCGACACCTCCTCGGCCTCCCTGGGCACTTCCTTCACCTTGGAACAACGAAACAGCAGAAAAGCAATTAAGAAACACAACAGGGAAAAGGCTAAAGAGGCTGAAAGCCCCACCACTCTGTGTCTCTCACGCAGTAAGGTCACAGGGCTAAATGCTGCTTGGGGGGAAAAAATGGGAGAAGAAAAAAACGGACCACAAAGCAGCGCAGTGTACATGAGAGTAGATACGGGTGTCGGGGTGCGAACGCTGACACTGGATTGGACAGATTGTGGGCGGCTCAGTGTGGCTGGCGCGAGGATGCAACACTCAGAGATCATCCCCCAGTCACCGGGATGCCCCCCTCAGAGTGCGGTAGCCAGTCTTCATTATTACAGTGAAATACTTGAGCCAGCTGACTTTATAAGGGGGGGAAAAAAGTTTATTTAGCTCCCCGTCTTGGCAGTTCACTTCCTACATCAGGCAATCCCTTTGACGTGGCATCGGGGAGAGCACAGACGAAGGATGACCCCATGAGCGGAGACCCGGTGAGCCGAGACCCCGTGAGCCGAGACCCCGTGAGCCGAGACCCCGTGAGCCGAGACCCAGGGAGAGTGGCCAGACCCAACTCAGGCTTTATAACCAGCTTCATGAGAACTACCTGCTGAGGGGCCACACCACCGCTGACCCACGGGCCTGCCCCATAGCTGCCCACAGCTTCCTCCCGGGCCCAATGAGCTTGTGACTTTGAAGTTTAAAATGTGTGCATGACTTCAGGAACCAAATAACGTTCAAACTACAGCTGTAAAGTGCACACCTTTTTCCCCTTGCCTCCAGGAGCCCCAGCAGGTCCTCACAGTGAACTTAGAAACACTCCTAGAGCTGCAAATGGAGAGAAGGTGAGGAGGATCCATTTGGAAATTCACCAGAACATTCTGTTCCTCTTAACAAGTCTTCATGAGAAGTTAGGTCACTAGAGTCTAGCCTGTTAAGGTGTTTATCAGGTGGAAGTTTTAGTTCCCCGGGAGAAAAGACATAGCCAGCTCCTAGCTCCTGGCTTCAGATCAGTTTGGCTCCAGCCGTTACGGACATTTGGGGAATGAACCAGTGGATGGAAGATCTTCCTCTCTGTCGCTCCTTATTTCTGTAAATCTGAATTTCCAATCAAAATTAATAAATAAAAATCTCTTTTAAAAACTATCATGAATACGCTAAGGGCTTTGGTGGAGGAAACAGATATCCTACAGAAACAGACAAGTAAGTTTAGCATGGAAAAGGATAACTTAAAAGCCATAAAGAAATGCTGGGAATCAAAATCCCTGCGACAGAAAGGAAGGGTGCCTCTGCTGGGCCCGTTAGCTGACTGGACAGAATCCTTGGGGCAGAGGATATGACAACAGACACAAAGCTGAAAGACAGAGAAGACGAGAGAGGAAAGCAGTGCCCAAGACCTATGAAAGCTGCGAGTAAGAAGAACCCCAGAAGGGAAGCCAAAACACAAAAGGAACAGACACAATAAATGCCGAAGATCGCCTCCCAGCTAATGCCAGCCACCAAGCCACAGAGCCAAGAACCCCAAAAACTCCGAGGACAGAGGTTGAAAATCAACAAAAACCTATCCCTAGGCATATCATATTTACGCATCAGAAAATTAAGAGAAAAAATATATTGAAGTACAGGATAAGAAATAGACCCATTTCCCCCCCCCCCCCCGAGAATCCACACAAACAAAAAAGTAAGTTGGAATATTTTGAGTTAATGGTTAAAAAAAAAAAAAAAACTAAGATCCATGCTGTGCAAAATTACCCTTTGAAAGTTCAGAAGAAATGAAGACTTTCTCAAACAGAGTTTATTGCCAGCAGGATGCTGAGTAAGAAATGACATAAGTGAGAAACTTAAATTTACATAAAGGAGGAAGATCAGAGAATGAACAGATATAGGCAGCATAAGTCCTTTTTATAACTTGATCTGTGGATGATTTTATACAAAATGAATTACAGCAAGAATGTATTTAATGATATGTATGTGCTTGGGAATCCTTACAAATAAGTAGAAAGAATGGTAGCACTGATATAAAAGATTGGAGTGTGAGAAAAATTAGAATTTTTTTTATTATAAGGTACCTTCAGCACCATGCAAAGTATAGTGTTATTTGAGTGTAGATTCAGATTAGTTCTAAATGCACTGTATATAAGCATTACAACAGGTACCAGGAGGCTGTGGCGCAGCAGGTAAAGCCTCAGCCTGCGATGCTGGCATCCCGTGTGAACACTGGGGCAACCCCTGGCTGCTCGACTTCTGGTTTGGCTCCCTGCTCATGTTCCTGGGAAGGCAGAGGAAGATGACCCAGGGCTTGGACCCCTTCACTCATGTGGGAGACCTGGAAGAAACTCCTGGCTTCAGAATAGCCACCTCAGCTGTTGGGGCATTTTGGGGAGTGAACCAGTGGATGAAAGATCTATGTCTTGGCCTCTCTGATTCTGCCTTTCAAATAAAATAAATGCTTTTTAAAGATTTATTCTTATTGGAAAGGCAGATATACAGAGAGGAGGAGAGACAGAGAGGAAGATCTTCTGTCCGCTGATTCACTCCCCAATTGACCACAACGGCCGGAACTGAGCCAATCCGAAGCCAGGAGCCAGGAGCTCTTCTGGGTCTCCTGTGCGGGTGCAGGGTCCCAAGGCTTTGGGCCATCCTTGACTGCTTTCCCAGGGCACAAGCAGGGAGCTGGATGGAAGCAGAGCTGCTGGGATTAGAAACAGCGCCCATTTGGGATCCCAGCACATGCAAGGCGAGGACTTTAACCACTTTGCTATCACACCGGGCCCAAACATTTTTTTTTTTTTAAAGAAAACAGAAATGGGCATTTGGCCTGGAAGATGAGCCAGTTCAGACACCTGCATCCTCCATTGGAGTCCCCGGCTCCAGCTCCTGACTTCACCTTCCTGCTGCAGATCCAGGGGAGGCGGGTGGGGCTGATTGGACAAGTAGCTGGATGATGCCACCCACGTGCCAAACGAGACCACGTGCCCAGCTTTCAGCTTCCCAACTGTTGTTTTAGGGGAGTGACCAGGAGTCCCTTCCCATTCATATTCTCTCTACATTCCTCTCACTTCCCCATGAATATTCTCTGAATTAAAGGATTATACCCAACAGGAAAAATATAATGATAAACTTATCAAAACAAAAGGCCAAAAGTGTAAGAAAATAAAGATAGGCGAATAGAAAATAATAAACACAGTAGATGTTAATGCAACGATGCCATGTAATCACCCAGAATACCGGTGGGCTCAGTATGCCAGTTAAGTGAGACTGTCAGAGTGTATCAAAAACAAGACCAAACCACATGCTGTTTACCAGAAATACGCTGTCAGCTTAAGGACACGCAGAGATTCAAAGTGAAGGGACACAAAAATACCATATACTCTCTCTGATACAAAGCGACAGCTATGCAGAATGCAAAACAGATATACATGTGAACAAGTATATATATAAATTCTCATAGATGAACTGTGTCATGGAGACCAGCGTATCAGTGAAGCTACGCTTCAGTAAGCATCTCCCCTCCCAGATAGAAGGACTCCTGGTGAGACTGTTAAATATACTCTGACCATCTGGAACCACTTTCCGCCATTGCCTGTAACTGCAACTCCAGGACACACTAAAACAGCAGGATGTTCCACTTGTAACTGCTGCTAAAGGACCACACAACTGTAACAACACGGGCGAAATGTGTGGGAAGGGAATACAAGGAGAAAGGAAGAGGCGGGGTGGAAGGGATCCCTATACCTGCAAAGCTGTATCATGGAAAATAACAACAATTAAAAAATTAAGAATAAATTACCACCACCACCACTACCACCCCGCCCCCCGAAAAAATTAAAAGTAGCGGGATGAGGACTGGCACTGTGGCACAGCAGGGAAATCCACCACCTGTCATGTCAGCATTCCATGTGGACACCTGCTCAAGCACAGGCCACTCAACTTCTAATCCACCTTCCTGCCAACATGCCTGGGAAGGCAATGGAGGACGGTTTCAGTGCTTGGGCTCCTGAATCCACACTGGAGTCTCAGCTGAAACTCCTGGCTGTGGCCTGCTCCAGCCCTAGCCATTGCAACCATTTGGAAAGTGCACCACCAAATGGAGGATCTCTCATCTACCTGTCTCCCTCTCTAACTCTACATTTCTGATAAATAAAAAAAAAGTCTAAAAGAAAAAAATAAGGAATGAAGGTTGGTATACCATACTCACACAATAAAAAAGAAAAAGGCACTAGATCAATTTCTGGGAAAAAAAAAGCCTAAGGAAAGCTTATGAATGAATAAAGGGTAAAGAACAATGAATGATGATAAAGCTACCAGTTTGCTTAGACTCAATAATTGCTATTGTATATATTATTAACATCAGAGCATCAAAACACATAAGGCAAGAAAAAAAATTGGGCCCGGCACAGTGGCACAGTGGTTAAGGTCCTCGCCTTGCATGCCCGGGATCCCATATGGGCGCCGGTTCTAATCCTGGCAACCCCGCTTCCCTTCCAGCTCCCTGCCTGTGGCCTGGGAAAGCAGTCGAGGACGGCCCAAAGCTTTGGGACCCTGCACCCGCATGGGAGACCCGGAAGAGGCTCCTGGCTTCGGATTGGCTCAGCTCCAGCCATTGTGGCCACCTGGGGAGTGAATCATTGGATGGAAGATCTTCCTCTTTGTCTCTCCTCTCTGTATATCCGCCTTCCAAATATAATAAATCTTTAAAATAAAAAATGTTTCAGGGAGAAGTTAGTTTACTGTAGTTAATACTTTAAGCTTCACCAGAAATGGACAGATCCAACAGACAGAAAATCGGTCAGGCTATAGTTGAAATACCCAGAACCATCAATCAAGATGATCTGACATCTATGAACTATCTTCCCACAACTGAAAGACGCTAGCAGGTCAGCAGCTTGAGCATGGGCCACTTGACACCTCGTGTTCGGATCCAGACAAGCATATGTGAGTGAGTCCCAGTTTTCAGGTGATCTAATCCAACCTCAGGGCCCTTCATTTAACATCAGTCTTAAAATTC